AGCGCCCGGTAGGATGGAGCAGGCGCAGCGCTCTTGGTTGGCAACCGAGACGTTGATGCCTATATCAATAAGCTTTCTACGCGTGTATTTGGTTGCTCTCTTGGCCTTCTGAAGACTGCAGACGCCGCTGGACTGCGGAGGGGACTCTCATTCTCATACCCCCTGTGGAGGTATATGTTGTTGAGTGCATTTCATGTGATAAATTACTTGCAACCTGTTGATATATCTGTGCATGGGTTTCCGTTCTTTTTCTGCAGCCGCACGAGAAACTCTGCATCCAAGTCTTAGCGCATTGCATCTTAGGCAGCGCTTTGAGGCTTGAATATACTAGATATAGCTTTTCAAGGTCCACTGCAGCTACCGCAGCCCCTCTCCGCAGCCAGCCCGCACGCCGTATCGCGCCGGTGGCGCAGCAGCACACACACTACACAACGTGCGTGCGCACCGAGCCAGCACAGCGGCCGCTCCCCAGCCCCATTCGCCCGCCCGCCCGTGCGGCGCGCGCCCCGCAGCCGGAACGATGCAGAGCAACTCCCTGTCGATGGGCAACCCGTTCAAAGCGCTGTGGGGCGCGTACGAGCGGCAGCTGCAGCGGCGGCCGGTGCTGACGCAGATGACCACCAGCGCCGCGCTGTGGGGCTTTGGCGACCTGTGTGCCCAACGCTTCGAAGCCTACGAGCGCGCCCACCTCCACCACCCCGCCGCCGCGCCAGCCGCCGCCAAGGCGGCACCGCCGCCCGCGGCGGCCGCCGCCGCCGCCGCCGCCGCCGCGGAGGGCACCGACTGGCGCCGCGCGCTGCTGACCGCGATCTACGGCGCGACGTTCGTCGGGCCCGTCGGCCATTACTGGTACTTCGGCCTCGACGCCGCCTGCGCCAGGATCTTCGCGCCGGGCAGCCCCCAGTTCATAGCGCTCAAGGTGCTGGTCGACACCGCCGTCATGGGACCGTTTTACGTGTCCAGTTTCTTCGCGTATGGGTGCGCGTTCATCGACGGCGGCGGCATGGAGGAGTTCCGGCGGAAGATGAAGACCGACTTTGTGTCGACCCTCGCGTTGGAGGTTTCGGTGTGGCCGTTTGTGCAGTCGGTCAACTTCTGGAAGGTGCCGGTCAAACACCAGCTGCTGGTGGTCAACAGCATGACGGTGGTGGACGCGGCGTTCATGAGCTGGGCCAGGAACCAGGAGGTGGGCGCGCGCGTGCGTAGTGCAGGTGCTTGTGTGCGCTCACATGCGTGTTGACGTGTTCCGTGCGTGCGTGTTTTGATGGGTTGAAGGGGATGTGCTTGGAAATACGTGCAAGGGCTTGCTGCACTTGATCGCCGCTTGCGCAACCAGCGCCAGGGTCGCCGCAACTTGGCGACCATCTGCAGCTGCCTGGCACGCCACGGCCCCCCCTGGCGCGCCCGCCCAAGCAAAAGGCTGCGGGGCCCGCGTCCCGCACTGCCTCTGCCTCATCATTGCTCACGAACCCACCCATCCCGACATTCAACATGAACAGGACTGGCTGCAGCAGCTCTTGGACCGCATGGCAGTCTCACAGGCGGCAGCGGGGCCACAGGCCAAACCCAAAAAGCCCTGAAAGGCGCACACGGCCGCGCAGGCCTGCGCTACACAAGGCAGCGAGCTCGGCAACTGCGCACCTGGGTGTTGCGGGCGGCGGGTGGCACGTGGCTGTGCGGCGTGGCGTGGCCTGCCGGCGGTCTGGGTGCCATCGTGACGCCGATTGAGTCTGGCAGTTGCTTTGCCTGCGGACTAGCGCGGGCACATGTAGCGCTCTTTTCGGCATTCCTGTGCCGCTTTCACTTCATGGTAGGCAGCTGATGCAGGGATGACCCTCGGCATATGCACTGCTTTTCTTGCCCTCTTTTAGCTCTTCATTCCTTCCTGGCTCCCTAGCGGCGATCCTGCAGCGCTCCACAGTGGCCGCCTGGCGTGATCTCCTTGGCCCCAGGCGATGCAACCCAATTTTACAAGCGCTGACAGGGCACGGCTCGCGGCCCTTGTAACCAAGTTGGCAGCATAAGATTTTGTGAACGAGTCGTAAGTCACAACATTTGAAAAGAGTAAGAGCTGCCAGAGGTGCTTGCACAGCAAGATGGCAGTGCAAAGTTCTGGGTGCAAGGTGCTTAGCGCGGCTCATCGTCTTCCACCCACGACCGCTGCTGCGGCGCTCCTCCGCCCCCATTGTTTCTGCTGCTGCCCGCCTCCTCATCAACCGCCGCCCTCTCACCCGTGCCTCGCCCGCCGCCCTCGCTGCGCGCTGCTGCTCCCGCTGCCGGCCCAGCGGCCCCAGCCAGCGTGATCGCTACAAACCCGCCCAGCACCAACGCGCTCCCCCCAAACGTCAGCGCAGCTGCGGCGCCGCTGCGCAGCCAGGCGGGGCGTCCGAGGAAGACGTCCAAGGCGGTGGCCATGGGGATCTGGATGCTGAGACCGAGGGTGGCAATCGTGGGTCCGAGGAGCAGCACGGCGCGAGCCCAGAGGAAGTCGGCAAGGACATAGTCCATCAGGCCTGCGGTGTGTATTCGTGTGCGAGTGCGTGCACGTGTGTGTGTGTGTGTGTGTGTGTGTGTGTGTGTGTGTGTGTGTGTGTGTGTGTGTGCGCACGCACAGGCACGCATGCATGTGTGCAAGCACACAAGCACACACACGTACACACATACACACACACACACACAAACACACACACACACACACAAACATGCACACACACACGGGCGCGGGCGCACACACAGCACCTGGTGCCGGTGAACCTGCATGGGAGGTCGACCAAGCAGTATGAGCACACCCCGGCGGCACCACAATGCTCACCGTTGAAGCACGCCAGCCCCAAGGACGCCGGCGCCACCCGCCCCAGGTCCAGCGCGCCCGCCCACTGCATGACGCCGAGCACTGGCAGTAGCAGGGCGGCGGTGAGCGCCCCCAGGTGCCCGAAGAACAGCGCGGTGTCGCCGGCGCCCGCCGAGCCGAGCGCTCCCTGGATCTGTATTGTGTAGGCTGCAGGTTGCAGGGACGCGGCAGCGGTGCGCGAGTTGGGGTCGCAGTGCTGTCAAGCGTACAAAGGGCGGTTGCTGTCTGCTGGCACGATGCGGCGTGTGCATTGCTGCTTGTCACTGCTTACCCCCAGGGGCTGCGGGATGAACATGAGCCGATTTGCGCCAAGCAGGTGGTGGGGTGGCCGCGCTCCGAAGACACCCGTGTCAGAGCCCGGGCGAAGACACAGTCACCTGCGTATAGCGCCGCCGCCCCTGTGGCCAGCAGGTCCCCTGCAAGGGGGCCCAGGGCCGCCGCCAACCGCAGAGGGGCCACAGCATCGCCGCCGCTGCTAGTGTCGGCGAGCGCGACTGCCGCAGTGCCTGATTCGTTGGCGCATGGGTGTTGTGGATGTGCGCAGGGGCGGCAGTGTGCTCAAATGGAGTCAGCGGTGACTCGGGGTCGGCTGAATTGTCTGCAGCAGGTGAGGGTGGTGACGCCGCCCTGTGGATGGTCAGAGGGGGTGGAACGGGAACGCCAGGGGCGTCGAGAGTGCCAACCCTCACCCGCCATGACGGCAACGACGCTGAGCGCCTTCCTCGCGGTGAACCTCTCGCCCAGGAAAAGGACCGACGCCAGGAAGGCGAAGAGGCAGCTGGTGGACGACAGGATGGTGTTGCTGGTGACGCTGGTGAGGGCGAGTGACCTGGTCAGAAGGTTTGTTGAGGTTTGTCCATGTCAGGGCGCAACGCAACGTTGAAAGCCAGGCCCCCCCTCACAGCAGGATTTGTGGGACGTCAGTGCACCCCTGCTGCCAACAACAGCACGGGGGCAGTGGGGGCGGCAGTCACGATTGAGGCCCCCCTGAGAGAGGCGCGCGCCATGCTGGGCGCCAACCCACCAGGCAAAGCAGAGCTGCGCCAAAAACCAGGTCGGGCCAACCTGGGGAGGGGGGGAAGGCGGCCCGCACGCAGAGCCAAATGTTCGGCACATTGCCAGGGTCCAGAGGGTCCTTTAGCATCCATCCTGCTGTGAGCATCCAGGGTCGGCCAGACCACCTGGGACACGCTCATGCTGCCTGCTGATGTCACTTGCTTATATGACACGCGGTTGCTGCCCGCTGGAGTCACCCACCAAGCCCCCCCCCCAACCCCCTGTACCGTCAATTGCTACAACACCCCCTTTTCCACCCCCGAAACATCAACAAAACAAAATCAACAACATCAACTAGCAAAGCATCGAGTCGTGCTCCTCCAGCAACCCTACCATCAAAGCCGCCTTGACCAGAGCCCCACGAGACAGCAGCAGGGGACCGCCCGGCTGAGCGCCCCCCAAAAGAGGAGCAGCCGCGTCCCCTCCATCTCCACCATCGCCGCCGCCACCATTCCCGCTGACCTCGCCTGTGCTGCCATCAGGCAGCTCTGCTCCTGTGGTGCCGCCATCGTGCACGCGGCCGCTGCTGTCCCTGCGTTGCAGCAAATGACAGGCTTGCATGTGGGGGACTTGCAGGTGGCTTCGCTGGCTGGGCTGTGCAAGCGGATGCAATTCAAAGAGGAAAATGAATGCAACCGACGCTGCTGGGTGACCCACGGGAGTGGTTTTTTTATTGAAGGTCGGTAATTTACGGCCCAGTCTCAAGGATTGCCTGTGCACTTGCCTGATGCATGCCTTTCTGCGCCGCGTCCGCAGAGCGCGCGCCGCCGCGACGATGGGGATGTACACGGCAAATTGGGAGGTGCACACGTAGCACAGGAGGAACGGCGGCAGCCGGGGCGGCGCGC